CACTGCGGGGATGCAGTCGGAGCAGGAGGGAGAGCCCGCCATCTCGGGCAGGCGGGACGATGGTCACTAGGAACAGGGCCTCTGCATGTGGCCAGGAATGTCCGTCTGACTTCTCCGTGGCTTGTCCATTTGACCTTCAAGGTTACGCAAGGGCGTGCTCTCCCAGCACTGCCAATGGGAGCAATTCTGTTTCCCAGGACGGCTGGAGGGAGCGCATGCGTGACAGAGGACTCCCTGGGTCCTGTTTTGGGGACAGGACAAACCTGGGAGGGGCCTCATCTCTGAGGACCAGTGCCCAAGGGTGGGTTCCTGAGACCCGGATGGAGGAGGGGAGGTGTTTATCTGGAGATGCAAGAGTGAGTCACGTGAATGGATGGACCTGTGGTATATACTGAAGGTGAAGAGAAAGATCTTCTCCCTGTACTCTTTTTGTTGTTGTTGATCCTCACCTGAGGATAATTTTTCTATTGATTTTCAGAAAAGTAGAAGGGGGGGTGGAGAGAGAGAGACAGAGAAAGAGAGAGAGAAATATCTGTGTGAGAGAGACACATCAACTGGTAGCCTCCTGGAGGTACCCCCTGGGGCAGGGAGAGAACCCACAACCTAGGTACATGCCCTTCACCAGGAATGGAACCCGGGACCCTATGGAGCATGGGATTACACTCTAATCCAGGGGTTCTCAAACTTTTTAAACAGGGGCCCAGTTCACTGTCCCTCAGACCGTTAGAGGGCCGGACTATAGTTTAAAAAAAAACTGTGAACAAATTCCTATGCACACTGCACATATCTTATTTTAAAATAAAAAAACAAAATGGGAACAAATACAATATTTGTATTTGCATGTGGCCCACGGGCCTTAGTTTGAGGACCCCTGCTCTAACCAGAGTCACACTGGCCAGGGCCCCTCTATGCCTTTATTTTTTAGTTTTTAAATCTTTATTGTTGAAAGTATTACATGTCTCCCTTTTCCCCCCATTGACCCCTCTAGCTCTCCCTCATCCTCCATCCCTCTACTTTTTAAAATTCTTGACTAATTGACCCCTTGAAGTTCTTGACCCCTGAAGCAAAAGACAGATTTCTGAAAAAAACATAGAAATTATCCTATCTAATAAAAGAGAAACATGGCAATTGGCATACAACTGCTACCCTTCACATTGGCTAATCAGCAAGATATGCAAATTAACTGCCAGCCAAGATGTTGGCCAACAGCCAGGCAGCTTGAAACTAACATGAGGCTTGCTTGCTTCAGTGACGGAGGAAACCAACGTTCCCCGCCTGCCTTGCCGGCCTCTGAGCCTGCAGTTTAAAAAACATTGTAACAAAGATAGAAGCTAAACAAAACCCCAGAAACCTGCTTTCAGTGAGCCCGGGATCTCAGAGCTGGAATTGATACAGAGTTTTGGTTATAGAACCTAAACAAACCAGATACCAGCTTTCAGCAGCGGATGCCTAAGAGCTGGAGCCTCAGAGCTAAAGCTGGCCCAGGATAAAAAAAGAAAAAGAAAAAAAGGAGCGGTTGGGAGCTTCAGTCACCCGCCAGCCTGAAAACAGCCCTCAGCCCCTCACCCAGGCTGGCCAGGCACCCCAGTGGGGACCCCCACCCTGAAGGGTGTGTGACCAGCTGCAAACAGCCATCATCCCCTCACCCAGGCTGGCCAGGCACCCCAGTGGGGACCCCCACCCTGATCCAGGACACCCTTCAGGGCAAACCAGCCGGCCCCCACACGTGCACCAGGCCTCTATCCTGTATAGTAAAAGGGTAATATGCCTCCCAGCACCGGGATCAGCGGAGCCACGAGGCCTCCTGGCACCGGGATCAGCGTGACAGGGGCAGCTCCCAAACCCCCTGATCGCCTTGCAGCTCTGTGTGTGGCAGGGGGCGGGGCCACAACCTCCCTATCTGCCCTGCTTTGTTCCTGACAGGGAAAGGCGCCCCAACCCCCTGATGGGCCCTGCTCTCTGCCTGATAGGGGGGAGCTCCCCAACGCCCTGATAGCCCTGCGGCTCTGTGTGTGACAGGGTGTGGCGCCCCAACCCCCCCACCCCACGGGCCCTGCTCTGTGTTTGACGGGGTAGAGCCATAACCTCCCCATCGGCCCTGCCCTGAGTGTGACAGTGGCGGCGCCCCAACCCTCTGATCGGCCCTGCTCTGTGGGTGATACAGGGTGGCGCCCCAACCCCCTGATCCGCCCTGCTCTGTGTGTGACAGGGGGCGATGCCCCAACTCCCCTATCGGCCCTACTCTGTGAGTGACAGGGGGGAGCCCCTCAACCCCCTGATGGGCCCTGCTCTGTGTGTGACAGGGGGGAGCTCCCCAGCCCCCTGATTGACCCTGCTCTGTGCATGACAGGGGGCAGCGCCCCAACCCCCTGATTGGCCCTGCTCTGTGCATGACAGGGGGTGGCGCAGCAACCTCCCCATCGACCCTGCCTTGAGTGTGACAGGGGGCGGTGCCCCAACCCCCAAATCAGCCCTACCCTGAGCGTGACTGAGGGTGGCATCGCAACCTCCCGATCTGCCCTGCTCTGTGCATGACAGGGGGCGGCGCCCCAACTCCCCAATCGGCCCTGCTCTGAGCCCGACCAGGGGCTGCACCTAGGGATTAGGCCTGCCCTCTGCCACCCGGGAGAAGGCCTAAGCCAGCAGGTCGTTATCTCCTGAGGGGTCCCAGACTGCGAGAGGGCACAGGCCGGGCTGAGGGACCCCCCCCTCCCCCCTGAGTGTACAAATTTTTGTGCACTGGGCCTCTAGTCTATCATAATTAAAGCATAATATGCTAATTAGACCAGATGTCCTTCCAAATGACCTTCTGGGGGAAGCCGGGGCTGCAATGTGAGCCCGGGTCCTGGGTGCCGGAGGGAACCTGGTGCCGGCAGCAGGGGGAAGGAAGGCCTATTTTTGCACAAATTTCGTGCATTGGGCCTCTAGTTTGGTATAAGTCTGACCTGATGCAGGAGCCTGCATAAGGAAATGACTCAGTGGGTGCTCTTATGCTGGTTGGGTGAAGGGTGGAAAGTTCTAGAAAGATGTGATGGGACAGAGGCAATGAGTTCAGTGTGGGGACCTGGGGGAACATGACAAAACCTGTCCACTCGGAAGCCTCTCTGTGGCTCTGCGTCTGGAGACAAGTGTGGCCTCGGGCCTGCAGAGGGCAGCACCTCTCACATCAGGGCCCATGACCCCCCCAGGGACTTGGCAGTGAGTCCTGCCTGCCCTGCCCTTTCTCAAGTCCTTCAGCTTCAAATACCCAAAGGCCACGGGGCGTCTTTGGGGGAGTGTGTCCTGAGCCCCGTCAGTACACACAGTGGACTGTGAGGCAGCTGAACCGGGAAGAAGACTCCCACACAGGCACCACCCGGGGACCTTGAGGGCATTATGCTCAGCGACCCAGCCAGTCCCAGGAGGACACTCCCGGTGACCCCACTTCTCCGCGGCCCCGCAGGCGAGGAATTCACAGACAGACAGTAAATGCTGGCCGCGGGGGCTGGGCCGCGGGAGGGGACTCAGTGTTTCACGGAGGTAGAGTTTCTGTTCTGCAAGATGAAACCAATTTGCAAATTCGCAATGGTGATGTGTGCACACCTTGGGAACGCACTTAAGGCCACTGAACTGTGCCTTTAAAAAAAGGCTACCAGGGTTAACTTTGTGTGAATTACAGCCGGGGCTGGGAGGCTGGGCTGAGGGTGGGGGCTGCAGGGGGGAGGTGAGGCTGACACAGGGCTGCTCCCTTGCCTGCCCGAGGCTGTCCCTGGGGTGGGGAAGGCTGGGCCAGGTGCGTGGCTGTGGGAGGTCAGAAGCCAGCCTGGGGCACTGAGGGAGGACCAGGCAGGTGACAGAGAAGCCCAGGCCTCCCACAGGTGTGGGGTTTGGTAACTGGGGGAAGGGTGCCTGCCCTCATTTTGCGGGACTGCAGGGAGGCGGTGAGTGGGCCCCGGAGCCCCTGGGTCCACGCTGAGCCAGCACAGTCCGAGCGGGCGCCTGTCTGCATGCACGTCCCACCCCGGGAACCAGGCCCAGTCCACGCACCGCCTGCTGCCCTCTGAGAAGGTCCGGAGTCTCGTGGGTGTTTCTGGAAGTCACCGCCTTCGCTTCATTATGGACTGAGTCGTCACCCCTTGGGGAAATCCAGGGTTCGGGTCCTGCAAGCTTCGGGCTACAACAGTTTGGTCAACCCGTCACTACATCAACTTAGAAGCGAAACTTTGAAATGGAAACTTGGCGTCACTGTCCTGAAAAGAGAATCGCCACCACTTGCCAGGCACTGAGACCTCACACGCACAGACTGCAGGGAACAGAGCAAAGCCATCACACGCGTGTCGTGTGGATGCCGGTGCCGCCTAAGGCCTGTGAACAGGGGAACGACCACGTGTCGGGAAGACATTAAAGACCTCAGTGGCCACTGCTGCTTCCTCCCTGACTCAGGGATGAAGAGGAACTGCAGGGGGCGCGTCTCTTTCCAGGACAACCTGTCATTTGGAGAAGGGAGAGCGCCCCCACCCTCCCTCAGGCGCAGGTCTACCTCTCCCAGACCCCGCCCCCCCGCCCATTAGCGCCTCCCAGGCCCCGCCCACAGCCTGTTTGCCGCTAAGCCCCGCCCCACAGCCCCTCTGCCCCGGCTAGGCCCCGCCCCTGAGCCCAACCTGCCTCTGCTAGGCCCCGCCCCACAGCCCTCCGCTCCTCCTAAGTCCCGCCCACATCCTGTTTGCCCCTCCTAGGCCCCGCCCACATCCCACCTGCCCCCGCTAGGAGCCGCCCCTCCACCCATCAGCTCCTCCTAAGCCCCGCCCACAGCCTGTTTGCCTCTCCCAGGCCCCGCCCCACAGGCCGTCCACTCCTCCCAGGCCCCGCCCCAGAATCCTACCCGTCCAGGAGGTGCAATGACTGACAGGTGCGCACCTGCCCCGGATTGGACCACCAGGCCGCCCGCCGGCTCCTCCACTCCGCCCTGGAGGGCGGGGCCAGGCGCGCTGACGTCACGCAGGGAACACCTGGGCGGCGGCTGGGAGTCCTCTCTCAGAGCGAGAGTTGGTGAGGTTAAGGCGGGGAGGATGGCGGACCCTGCACCGCAGACCCCGCCTCCCGGACCCCGGCCCGCCGCCGCTCTGTGCGACCCCGAGCGTGGCTGGAGCGTGTCTTTCGTGGGCTGCGGCTTCCTGGGCTTCTACCACCTCGGGGCGACCCGCTGCCTGAGCGAGCGCGCCCCGCACCTCCTCCGCGACGCGCGCATGATCTTCGGTGCCTCTGCTGGGGCGCTGCACGGCGTCACCTTCCTCGCCCGCATTCCCGTGGGTACGTCCGGGGCTGCACGGGCTCCTTGCCAGGAGGGGGCGCCCCCAGGCCTGGGCTGCGGGCAACTCCTAAGGTTGCGGGGTGCCGGGTGGATCCGAGTTTGGACTTGGAAACTGCAGGTGCATCCCGGGGACCCTGCAGACAGGTGCCCCCTCCACTGCGTCCTCTCGCCTCGCGCGGGGGGCTCTGTGGCCCAGTCTGGGAGGGGGCGCCTTGGGAGTGGCTCCTCTGGGCGTGGGAATCCCGAGCGCCTCCCTCCTCACCCCTTCTGGAGCCAGGGCTTGAAGGAAGCCTGTTCCCCAGGACCGAGCGGCGTCTTCCAGGGAAGGCGACCCGGGCGGCAGAGGGTGGAGCTGGTCTCCGTGGTCCCCGCCTTCTGCCGGCTCCTGCTGAGCTGCGTGCCCGCGGGAGGGTCCATGTGCCCTGGGTCTCACCAACCAGATGTGGGCTGTGGCCTGGGCCCCAAGGTGGGCGCCTACTTTTGTTTGGAAACTGAGGGGCTGGAGACACGACCAACTCCCATCTCTCCTCCCTCCTCCTGCGCCCTTTGTGCGCCTGCCCTGGGGAGCGGCGGGGTGGGGGCGGGCTTGGATGGGGCTCATGTGGAGGGCAGCTCCTTGGACTCCTGGGCAGAGCAGCTGGTTTGGAGGTGAGGAGGTTGGAGGGGGGAGAGGGGATGTCCTGTGTGTGTGCAGGAGGGTAGGAGAGCTATCTCCTCTCCTTCCCAGTGTTTCAGGCCCTTCCTCAGGGCTGGAGTGGCCCCTGGACCCCCCACACCATGCTCACCCTCCACACCCCACTCAGTGCGGCAGGAAATGACAGGCCTTTAAGTTTTGTCGGGATTAATGTCTGTGATTGTGGAAGCCAGTGGGAGGGAGGGGTGTGGACTGGTGCCCAGCTGGCCTCAAGGACTGGGGTGCAGCCTCCTCGGCTTGGGGTTCCCCATCAGGGGGCAGAGCTGGGAGCAAGGGGAGCTGCTGGCACCCAAAGGCCCAGAAGGAAGAGGATGCCCCTCATCAGCCCCTTTCCCTGGGCTCCTTAGGGACTTCCTCTTGGCTGCACCCAGGCCTGCTGGGGGGGACCCAGCCAGCTTGGCTGCCTTTGCTCTGGTGACAATAGTCTCCTGCTAGGACAGCCCTGCCATTGGAGGGACCTGGGCTGAGTGGGAGGTAGGGTTAGGGGGCCACCCTGGCTGCCTTCTCCCTGCAGGGGGAGGGGAGCAAAGGGCACGATGTGACCTCCAGGACGGCCAGTCCGCCCTCCCCCCACCCCTCCCGGGCAGTGCTAAAGCCAGTCTTTGTCCCCAAGGTGACCTGGAGCCACCCATGAGGTTGAACGTTTAACTGGGGCTGTGACCCCAGGACCCCAGTGAGGTGCAGAGCAGTGCAGGGGTTCCCATAGCAGGGGACAGGCCCAGCCCTGAGCTGTGCCCGCAGCACAGGGTGAGGCAGGAGAGAGGTGGAGGCACGTGACAGGTGAAGACTGCTGAGAGGGGGAGGTAGGTGAGAGGGGAGGTAAGTGAGAGTGGAGGCAGGTGAGAGGGGAGGCAGGTGACGGGGAGGGAGGTGGGAGGGGGAGGCAGGTGAGAGGGGAGGCAGGTGAGAGGGGAGGCAGGTGGGAGGAGGAGGCAGGTGAGAGGTGGATGCAGGTGGGAGGTGGAGGCAGGTGGGAGTGGAGGCAGGTGGGAGGTGGATGCAGGTGAGGGTAGGCAGGTGGGAGGCAGGTGAGGCAGGTGGGAGGTGGAGGCAGGTGGGAGGAGGAGGCAGGTTGAGGGGGAGCCAGGTGGGAGGTGGAGGCAGGTTGAGGGGGATTCAGGTGGGAGGTGGAGGCAGGTGGGAGGAGGAGGCAGGTGGGAGGTGGAGGCAGGTGGGAGGAGGAGGCAGGTGGGAGGAGGAGGCAGGTGAGAGGTGGAGGCAGGTGGGAGGAGGGGGCAGGTGAGAGGTGGAGGCAGGTGGGAGGTGGAGGCAGGTGGGAGGTGGGGGCAGGTGAGAGGTGGGGGCAGGTGGGAGGTGGAGGCAGGTGGGAGGTGGAGGCAGGTGGGAGGTGGAGGCAGGTGAGAGGGGAGGCAGGTGGGAGGGGAGGCAGGTGAGAGGGGAGGCAGGTGAGAGGGGAGGCAGGTGGGAGGTGGAGGCAGGTGAGAGGGGAGGCAGGTGAGAGGGGAGGCAGGTGGGAGGAGGAGGCAGGTGGGAGGTGGAGGCAGGTGGGAGGTGGATGCAGGTTGAGGGGTAGGCAGGTGGGAGGTGGAGGCAGGTGGGAGAGGAGGCAGGTGGGAGGTGGAGGCAGGTGGGAGGGGAGGCAGGTGGGAGGTGGAGGAAGGTGGGAGGTGGAGGAAGTGAGAGGGAGGCAGGTGGGAGGGGGAGGCAGGTGGGAGGGGAGGCAGGTGGGAGGTGGAGGAAGGTGGGAGGTGGAGGAAAGTGAGAGGGGAGGCAGGTGGGAGGGGGAGGCAGGTGGGAGGTGCAGACAGGCTTCCCGCCCTGGTGCTGGCCCTGTGTTCTCTGCCCCCTGGAGTCAGGCCTCCCTGGCTCTGGCTCTGAGGTGAGAGGGGCGAGGAGAGCGCACCTGGGCCTCTGGAGGCCTTTCCCAAGGCCAGGCCGGGAGGGCGCTGTGCAACAGGAACAGTGCAGGCCGCGCTGTCGGTCATTTTACGTTTCCCAGAGACAGGAAGCAAAAAGTAAGACACAGTGAAGTTAGCCTTGTTCATCCCAATATCACCAAACAGTCCCCTGCTCCCATTTAGTCAGTATAAGGGTGTGTGTGTTGAGATATTTTACACTCTATTTTGCATTAAGTTTTGAGATCCTCTGACTACAGCTCAGTTTGGACGATCCCCATTGTAAGGGCTCTGTAGCCACGTGAGAACACAGCTCCCTCCGCCCGGTTTCTGGTCTTGCCACAGTCGCCCCTCTCCCAGGTGGCACATCCATCCCCCTGTGGGCTTGTCTCCCCACAGACATTACTCTGAAGTTCCTCACAGACCTTGTCGAGTCCGCCAGAAGCCGGACCATGAGCATCCTCCATCCGTCCTTCAACATAGTCAGGTCCCTCCAAGAAGCCCTCCACAGACACCTCCCGGACAACGTCCACCAGCTCATCTCAGGCAAAATGTGCATCTCGCTGACCCGAGTGTCCGACTGGGAAAACGTCCTGGTGTCCGAGTTTCAGTCCAAAGACGACGTTGTGGACGTAAGCGGTGGGCCTGTCTGGGTGCTGGCAGTGAGGGGCGGTTTCATTCTGGGAGTCACACGGAGAGGCTGGCGCAGGCCACCTGCCCCCTTTCTTACACAGACAAGCACCTGGCCGGCCGGGACGCTGTCTGCTGCCCGCACCCTGTGACGTACACGCCGTGCCCCCCATGGTCTGGGCCACAGCCTGGGAAACCCTGGGCGCCCAGCACAGGTTCCGTGTAAAGGATGGCTCCGCATCCTGCAGGCTTGGCTTTGTCCACCTCCTCAGGGCCCTGTCCCTCGGTGTCCCTCCTGCACGGGATGCGTGTTCCTGCAGGAGAACAGCTTGAGGGAAGCAGCGAGAGGCGGAACCTCTTCCTTGGGGCCCAGCCCAGAGGTTGTTTGCAAGGTCACAATCCAGTGCATTTGCCTGATGCCTTCATGGGGGATCAACAGACACTTCACTTCACACAGGTCTGCAGAGCAGAGCGGCCTGGCCCATAGAGCCAGCTGCATCTCAGCAGCCCCAACCATCTGTCATTGAACCTTGTTTCTGGAAGTTTCTTCTCTTCAGCCAGCACCTGTCCCTCCCACAGGAGTCCTTTCTCTCTGTGAGTCAGTGTTGTGTGCTGCTTAATGCTCTCCAGCCGGCGCTACTCCATTGTGGTCCCTGGACCCGTGTGGGCATCACCTGGGAGCCTGGGAGACTTGCAGTCTGAGGCCCCTCCTCCAAGCTGCTGCCTCAGAATCCCGGGCCAGGGTCCAGGGCCAGCGGGTCAAGCAGCTTGAGTCTGATCCAGTCCTTCCCCGTCAGTCATTGCGTCCACAGCTCCAGGTCTGGTCTGCGATGGCCATTGGGACTCTCGTGGGCAGCAGGGACATATACTTGGGGCTGAAATGCTATTGTGTGGTTGGTTCATTGTTCATTCAACCCCTTAAATAAAGTGCCTACTGTGTGCAAAGAGCACATTCAGACCAGCTGCTCTTCTCACTCACAGAGAGAAGGCTCAGGGAGGCCCAGGGGAATGAAGGGCCTACTGCTTTGCCTGTGGTTTCACTTCCTTTTATCTTCACAGGCCTTGATCTGTACCTCCTTCATCCCTTACCTCTGTGGCTTAATCCCCCCAACCTTCAGAGGCGTGGTAAGTCTGCTTTTATACTGTGTTCGCACAGCTCCTGTCTGTACAATCCTGGGCGCAGGCATCCGAACACAGGGCCTTCTGTGGCTCAGCCTTGAGACACTGATTCCATAGCTGCTGCATCTCCACCCCACCCGCCCCCAGCCCAACCAGCCTCACCAAGAACCCACTATCTGGCTTTCTGGAAGGTGAGCTGGTTCATGTCATCCTCACCTGAGCACGGAGGACAGGTGCCCCGTGGCCTAGTTAAAGAATACGACACTTAAGACTCAGCCACTCCCTTAAGTCGAGCTTCGCTCTCAGGGTGGAGTGATTCAGTCCTCTCTGGGTCTGACTGTCCTTCCAGCCCGTGGCTTGGGGCAAAGCTGCCGACAGAGCTACGGTTCAGTTCCATCAGCAAATACTCTCTGTAGACACATGCAGCTGATGGCGAGCCCTGCCCGGCAGAGTTTGAGTGGAGTGTGTGCTCTGCGGGCTCTGGGCCACGTCCTGGGCTGTGCAGCACCAGGGGCAGCTCCTTCCTGGGCAGCCACTATCCACTGGAGCTAATTGATCACCACCCGGGACATCTGTCCTGTCTGCGGACAGTTGAGGATGTCACATGGGGCAGGGCTCCTGGCATTGGTTTGACAGGTGCAGACTGTCCAGCTTGTACCAAACCTGCCTGCCCAGCCGAAAATGTTGAAAGAGGCTCCCCAAACCTGGTCCTCTCCTGGGTCAGCTGTGGCTCTGAGAATCCCCTGCCCAGAGCCTCTGACAGAATATGTTTTCTCTCTCCCTCACAAGCGGTACGTGGATGGAGGGTTTACTAACAGTGTACCCTGCTTCGATGACAAGACGACCATCACTGTGTCCCCGTTCCTTGGGGAGCATGACATCTGTCCTAAGGTCAAGTCCACGAACTTCCTGTATATGGACGTGTACAGGCTCAGTCTCCGCTTCTGCTTAGAGAACGTCCAGCTGATAAGGCAGATGGTGTTCCCCCCGGATGGCAAGGTGAGTGGGGCTGTTTGTTCAGCTCTGTGCTCCTGGGGACCCACTAGTGTGGTTCACTACACAGACAAACCAAAGCAGACCCCTCAGTGAATAGGTGCCCCACTCTGATTTTGAGAATCATCTGGGGACATTTAAACTGTGCTGCCCAAAGCGTAGCAGATCTACCGAATACACGGTCACAAACCCAAGCAGGCACCCTGAATGGAGAGATGAAAAAACAACCCCCAATGAAAGAACAAGAGAATTCTCCAATAGCAGAGATAAATGAAATGGAGATAAGAAATTCATTTGATACAGAGTTCAGAATAATGATGGTAAAGATGCTCAACAGCATGAGAAAAGATATAGTAAATATGAAAAAAGAACAGTTGGAAATAAAGATTGACATAGCACTAATAAAGAACACATTGGAAGGAATACACAGCAGATTAGGGGAAGCTTAGGATGATATCAGTGAATTAGACGATGGTAGATAAAAATCACTCATTCAGAGAACCAAAAAGAAAAACAATTAAAAAATCAGAGGACAGTTTAAGGGAGCTATGGGACAGTGTGAAGCATAACAACGTTCGCATAATGGTTGTGCCAGAGGGGAAGAAAGTGAAAAAGGGATAGAAACCATGTTTGAAGAAATAATGGCAGAAAACTCCCATAACCTGGTGAAGGAAAAAGTCACACAAGTTCAGGAGGCACAGAGAGTCCCAAGCAGGAACCCAAAAAGGCCCTGGCTTGGACACATCATAATTAAAATGCCAAAAATTAAAGAGAAAGAATCTTAAAGGCAGCAAGAGAAAAGCAATTTGTTACCCACAAAGTAGCTCCCATAAGGCTGTCAACTGATTCCTCATCAAAAACTCTACAGGCCAGAAGGGAATGACAGAAGTATTCATATTTAAGAAAAGCATAAATCTGAAACCAAGATGACTGTATCCAGCAAGGCTATCATTCAGAATAGATGGTGAAATAAACAGCTTCCCAGACAAAATAAAAGCCTAAGACAGTTTGTCACTACATGCCAGCATTGCAAAAAATGCTAAAGGGACTGCTGTAATGAGAAGAAATAGTGAAACCTAGGCATACAGGATTAAAGTGGCAATAAATAAGTACCTATCAATAATAACCTTAAATGTAAATGGATTAAATGCTCCAATCAAAAGATATAGGGTAGCTGAATAGATATAAAAATGACCCAACTATATGCTGTCTACAAGGGACCCACCCCAGAACAAAAGACTCACATAAGAGGAGAGTGAAGGAATGAGAAAAATTTTCCATGCAAATGTAAACAAACAAAAAAAAGCTGGGGTGGCAATACTCATATATGACAAAATAGACTTCAAAATGTAAGCCGTGAGAAGAGACAACAAGGTCACGACATAATACTAAGGGATCAATCCAACAAGAGGATATAACCCTGGTAAACATATGCACCCAATATAGGAGCCCTTAAATATATATAGATAAAAAACTTCTAAAGGACTTTAAGGGAGAGATCGACAGTAATACAGTTACAGTAGACAGAAAATTAAGAAGAAACCAGTGACTCCAAAGGACACACTGGATCAGATGGATTTAATTGAGATTTATGGAACATTCCACCCCAAAGCTGCAGGATACACATTCTTCTCAAGTGCACTTGGGTCATTCACAAAGATAGACCACATGTTAGGACACAAAACAAGTCTCTACAAGCGTCTTCCCAGATCACAGTGTTAGGAAAGTAGAAATCAACTACTGTCAAAACAGCCCCAAACATTCGCACACACAGAGGCCGTGCCTGGCCCGTGGAGGCAGCTCAGAGTTTGAAGGGGCCTTCGGTTTAAGTGAGTGAGGCTTAGTGACCCTGCCCCGTAGTTCACTCGCTTGCTTCGCTTACAGGTCCTTGCAGAGTTGTTCCTACGAGGGTATTTAGATGCGGTCAGGTTCTTGGAAGAAAATGGTATGTGTGGGCTGGGGGGCAGATGAGCACTTTTCTTTTTTTAATATGGTTTTATTGATTTCAGAGAGAGGGATGGAGAGGAAGAGGGAGAGAGAGATAGAAACAGCAATGATGAGAGAGAATCATTGATCGGCTGCCTCCTGTATGCCCCCTGCTGGGCATTGAGCCCGAAATTTGGACACGTGTCCTGACAGGGAATAGAACCGTGCCCTCCTGGTTCATGGATTGATGCTAACCACTGAGAAACACTGGCCGGGCCAGATGTGCCCTTTTCATCAGCCGTTTGTTAGCAGCCTTGGTGAGCGCCAGGTGATGTGACATCATGTGGTGCTCCCCACCTTCACCAGCTGTCGGGCTCAGCCCTCTAATGAGCTCTGCTACATTGGAACCCTCTGCCCCAGTTTACAGGTGGGGAAATGGAGGCTTGGAGAGGCGAGCCAGGGTCCACACTCCACCCACTGAGGGGCAGAGCTGGGATTGGAACCCGGGATGTCCCTGCTCCAGGGCGCTCTCCTGGCACAGTTTCCCCTGTTAGTTCACAAGGGCGTTCAATGGCCCAATGGTCTGGGCTCAGGGAAGCACTCGGAAGGCTTTGGGGAGGCCACCCCCCTCCCTGGGCCTGTTCCCTCCTCTGTATTGAGGGGAGTTGGGATACAAGTACATCCAGGTGATTCTCAGTCATTGTAAAGACTGGCACGTGGCCCAGCGTTTGCACGCGCGGTGCCATGTTGGGGTTCAAATATGTGAGCAGGTCCTCAGGCAGCTGGTCCCTGGGGTCCTGCAGGGGAGTCGTGGGCGGCGGGGGGCAAGTGATGTCCTCTGGGAACAGATCTGCACCTAGGGCAGGTGATGACCCAGAGGGTGAGCAGCGTGCCTAAGGGAGGCCCCGGGAGAGATCGAGAGAGAAGCATAAAGGGGAGGGTAATCTAGGAGCACCGAGGGGCGTCCAGGGGCAGCCGCTGGTCTTTGTAACCTGAGGATGGAGGCAACAGGTGACCCAGGGCAAACCGGGGCCTCTAAAACTACAGTCCCCCCCCCACCCCCACCCCCCCCACCCCCCGACCGCCTCCACCCTGTGCGCCGGTTCCGAGGGAGCTGGGAGCCCCTGTGGTGTTGGCTACAGCGCCCCAACTCCTGGGGCAGCGCCTCCCCCCCCCACCCCCCCCAACCACACACACACAAACTCCCGTGCCTAATACTGCTTTCAGGGTTGTGTGGTGGAAGAGGGCCATGACTGATGTCAGGCCTGGGTTCAAATCCCACTCTGCCCCAGATGGGCTGTGTGGCTGTGGATGAGTCTCTTAACGTCTCTGTGCTTCCCATTCCTCAGCTGAAACGGGGAGACGCTGATAATAGTAGCAGTTTCATGGCTGCTGCCAGGCCTGGCTGAGACATTCCTATCAGGGCCAGGGACATAGGCTCCACCAGCGGTGCCACAGACAGTGCACATTAGCTGCAGGCACCTTTCCCTCCCAGGCCACAGTGGCTGTGCGGCCCACAGTGAGTGCGAGACGGAGCCAGGAGTTCGGCGCCCTTGGCTGTGGCTTCAGAGCCCCGTGCCGCCTCCTCCCTGTGAAGCCCGTTGCCCTCGTCCGTCCTGCCTGCTACTGAGCTGATCCCAGGCCTGCAGTGTCCAGTGGCCGCTGGCCTCCTGTCATGGGTGGGTGGGTGTGTGAGTCATGCCCCCTGTCTCCGTGCCCCGCGTAGGCATCTGTGACAGGCCCCGTCCGAGCCCGAGTGTGCCCTCGGCAGCGCCCGAGTTCCTTCCGTTCTCCTGGGAAACCGCGAGCCCCGAGGCTTCCCCGGGGGCGGCTGCCTGGCAGGGGAGGCCCGAGGTGGCCGAGCTGCTGGCCCACCTGCGTGTCAGCCTCCGGCCCTGGGACGAGAGCATCCTGGAGACCCTGTCGCCCAAGCTCATTGCGGGTGAGACGCCTCTGGCGGGACGGCAGGGTGCTGCTCTCTGTTGCTGAGGCTCAGAGGGCTTCTCTCTGGGTTGGGGAGGAGGTGATGCTGCCACGGGGAGGAGAGGAGGCCCCACCTCCTGGCACCATCTCCCCACCCGGGCGCCTTGCTCAGCCTCCCTTCCCCGTGTGCATGGCCAGAAAAAGCCACACTCCCGGTGAGCCCATTGGGAGTTAAGCGGGCATGCGCCCAGTTCCTGGGTCCGGGCGCACCCAGACCACCATTCTTCCAGAACACCATTCTCTGCCTGGGCCCCGTCTCCACGCCTTCTTTCTGGAGGAGCCTGTCTGCCTCCCCTTCCCCGAACCCTCAGCTTTGAACTTGTCCTTGAACGACGGTAGTGCATTTGATCATGTCGTCAGACACCAGATGGGCCAGGAGTGCAAATCGGGCACTGGGAGAAATTCAAAGATAAACACGACGCTGGTGCCCAGGTTGCTACGATTTGAGGGTCCTGAGGCCACGACGAACGGGAAACAGAAGCCAGGGCTCCAGGCAGAAGAGGGCGTGTTGGGAAAGCCCGTAAGGCGGGTGGGGTTGGGGGTCGGTGCCTCCTCCAGGGAGAGCTGCCAGCGGGACAGTTGATCCGGGGCGTGGCTGTCCCAGGGCTGTTCTGGCCGCACTCCCTGATCCAGGGCATGGGCCCGGCTTCTGATTCTTTGGCAGCAGGATTTGTGTGTTTCACTGGAATTGCAGGCAGCACCTGGGTGAGGTTACACTGGGGGGAACGCCCCTCCCCCCAATGGTATCTTTCAGGCCTGAGTGAGGCATGTAGACCCCGAGGTGGCTGCTGGAGCAAGATCTGCAGCTTCCTACCAGTGAAGGTCATGTCTTACGTGATGCTGCCCTGTACGCTGCCCGTGGAGTCCACGCTCGCGGTGGCCCAGAGGTGAGCAGTGTGGGCGGCTTTGTCTGCACTGGGTCCTGGGCATGTGCATTACTCGCTTTCTTCAGATGGACTTGGGTGTCTCCTTTGTTTTTAGTGAGTTAAGCCAGCATTTCCTTCCGTCCATCTTCTAAAGTCCAACCCGGCCTTCAAACTCCAGCTCCGCGGTCCTGCCCAGGGTGGACCTTTCCTGGTCCCTCCTGCCCCAACGATGAGCCACCTGTTCCCACGCCGCCTGTCCTGCGTGGACACCCAGGCGTTTATCAGAGCCCAAGCGTGGGGTCCTTTCGTGTCCACGGCCACGGAGCCTGTGGAGGCCGTGGTCAGGCTTGCTCTGCTGGGCTTGCACGTGGCCAAAGGCAGTCGGGCTCGTGGAGTGGGTGGTGTCTCCACTCCAAGCTTCAGGTATCTTGAATCTGGGAAAACCAGGCTTCTCCTTTAATTGCCATGTGAATCCCTTGAGCTTTCCTGAATCAGAAGTCACCTAACTTTGGTCCCTGGCCACTTTTGCTCAGTGGTTAGAGTGAAGGGTCCAGGGTTTGATTCCAGTTAAGGGCACATACCTCGGTTGCGGGATCCGCGGTGCATTGATTGTTCTCAGTTTTTCAGTCTCTCCCCCTCCCTGCCACGCTCCGAAAATCAGTGGAAAGAATATCCTCACGTGAGGAGTAACACGCACACAGAGGGGCCTAAATCCGCCTCGTGAGAATTGATCGGGTTGGAAGTAGAAGTGCGCCCGCAGTTTAGCGGGACAAGGAGTATTGCTGTACGCTCGCTGCCTGTTGTGCAGCTTCTGTTTGGCTCTCTACATTTTGACTTGTCTTCCTGCTGACACGTGAGTGTGTGTGTGTGTGTGTGTGTGTGTGTGTGTCTGTGCAGACTGGTGCGGTGGCTCCCCGACATTCCTGACGACGTCCAGTGGCTGCAGGCCATAACTTCCCAGGTTTGTTCTCGACTGATGACGCACCTGCTCCCCACGCTCAGGTAAATGATTTGTGTGGGTCCAATGGGCACCCCTTTCACCTGATCAGGCCTGTGGGCCCTTCTAGAACCATGGTGGGACACCCAGTAGGTGACGAGGAGCGTATCTTTCAGTGCAGGGGCGCTGTCCTGTGTGAGGCAGCTGAATAAGTCAGCGGGTGCCGTGCTGAAAGTTTGCCGTGCCCACCTGCACAGGGGCTGCGGGGCCCAGGGGGCGGCGGGAAGGCCCCCGCATGGGGCCCAGATTGGATGGAGAGCTGAGCGGGGCAGCGGGACGCCCCGTCAGAAGGGTTAGGAGCATTGCTTTGCCTCTTGGAAGTCGCTCTGGGTGCCTGCAGCGCGGGGCGGGGTGGGGCTTCGGGGGCCTGGCGGGTGTCATGTTAACGTGGATTCCTTCTGACCTCAGACTTGCGGAGTCCTAGGCTGGTGGTGGAACCCCGAAGTCCAGACTGAAACATGGCCTGGTGACGTGGCCGCTCTGAAATCTGTACCCCGATACGCAGCCAGGAGGGCCTTGTTCTGGTTCCGAGGACTGGATCTTATCCTGAAAATCCTGGGTCTTGGCTTTCTCTGCTCAACGGCGGTCTCCGCACCTCCTCTGGGCTTCTGTGAGACACTGGGCACCCCTGGCCCAGTACTGGACGGGAGTGGGCACTCAGGAGGCGGGGCCTCTTTTGCTACTGTTATTGGCAGACATGGGGGGTTAAAAGGGGGGGGTGGCAGGATCTGGTTTGCACTGGGAATGACCACGGTGACCTTGTGGAGGAGGCTGGTCTTGGGCCCGAGTGGCGGCAGGCTCGCCAGCGAGAGGGCAGCCACCCTGGCCCAGGCACAGACCCGGAGCCTGGTCTCAGTACAGCGTGGGGTTGACAGGTGTTCAGAGGCTCCAGGGCCCAAAGGAGGTGCAAGCCCAGGAGCCTGCGGCATCCTGAGGGAGGGGCAGCCAGGCAGAAGGAGGCAGCAGGGCTTCAGGGGCACCCTGCCCTACCCTGCCCTACCCTGCCCTGCCCTGCCGGGAGCTGCTTTGTGTGGAGGAAGCTGATGGGCTCCGTCCTGCTGTGCAGGCCAGGGGGAGGTGTCCCGGCGGCTGGGACGGCCACAGGCTGGCAGGCCGGGTGGGGACACTGGCCCAGCACCGGGGCGGCAGAGGCTGTGTCCTTCTCCGGAAGGGCACCGAGGTCAGGGCCCTTAGACGATGGCAGTGACTTGGAAACATAAGGGCAGCTTCCTGTCTGTTGAGCCATGCATCAAGGGGATCAGGGAGCTGTTTATAGCACAGCCTTTTCACAAGTCCAGAGCCCAAGACAGGCCCTGGGCCCCAGGCAGAAGCCAGACTCCGCAGCTTGGCCTCCTGTCCGCTGCCGCCCCCCCCCCCCCCCGCCCCCGCAGCCTCTAGCTTGCTTTCCTTTCTTCTCCGCTCCCCTCCCCACCCCCAGCCTTACTGAGAAGGGGGACAGAGAGCTCCTTTCTCCCAGGGGGAAACTTGCTGGCAGGCACACGGCACTGCCCTCCAGGGGAAACGTGGGTGTCTGTTGCTCTAACACATGCAGACATTACAGAGAGAATCAGTGCTAAGGTCCAGCCCAGGCGCTGGGACAGAGGGTGGCACCTCTCCCCCACTTTGGTAAGTGTCCCGGAGGGGAGAACCAGCAAGTCCAGACAGGACACTTCTCACAGGCACATCCTTCAACCTGGAGGCGCTCCGGGGCCACTGCTGTGTGCGCCCCATTCTCTGGAGCTGTGATGAGCTGTGAACTAGGAGCAGGGGCGACTTGTGATGACACAGGGTCGTTGCCCAGCACAGGGACCCCCCCCCCCCCAATCCCGGGCCTCCCTGCTGGCTCCTGTGTCTCGGGGCTGGTGAGTGGTGGACTCTCCCGGCCACCAGGGCTGCAGGACAAAGCTCTGCCCCTTGCTGAGCTGGACGGAGGCGGGGAGGCCACGCCTGCCACCACCTGGACTCCTGTAACCCCCCTCACACCTCCCGCCTCATTTCCCAAGCGGCTGTAACACTAACAGTATTTTACAGTGACCATGTTTTCTGATAGACGGTACACGCGTGAGTTTTGTGATCGTCATCAGGAAATAAATATGTTCAATGGCTGATAAAATTACACGAAACTTATTTTCTTTCCACTTTTTAAAAATCGCTCGACCTTCTTACAATGAGCATGTTTTATACATTTTTAAAAATGAGCTCGAAGACAAGGAAGTGCAGTGCTCACTGAGAAATGGCCAAGGATTGCCGGCCTGGGCCTTAGCTGCCACCCTCCCACAGCCCCCAGCCCTGCAGCTCTGTAGGGTGTCTCACCTGCAGATGAAAGCATCCTCCAGTCCCTCCTACCTGTCAGACAGCCCTCCCTCCCTCTCTCTGGGGCACACGCAGGCTCTGGAGCTCTCCCTCAGGCATTATCCACACGTAGTCCAGTTCAGTGGCCCCAACCGGTGGCCCGCGGACCGCTGGTCTAGTTAATGCCTGGAAACAGCGGCCTTACTGGGCACACAGATGGCAAAACCTGGCGCAGAGCCTGGGCCAGTCTCGTTAAGGACAGTGTGGAGGTGTGTGTGTGAAAAAAGACCGGAAGGGCACATGCCCCATACTGTCAGTGGCTAGCATTCTGCCATTATCTATAACTCTTTGTTGTGCTTTTATGTGTTTTCCAAATTTCTGTGAACATGTATTTCTTTGGTCAGAAAAGAGCTCATAATAAATGTGGCACTTAGAGTGCTCTCCCTCGGCTGTCCTTCCCAGATGCCGCGGGGCCGGACTCTTCCCCAAAGCTGATCCTGGGGGGGTGGAGGGGGAGGCTTGGAGTGAGCAGGCCTCGTCTTCCGAGTTCTTGGCGCAGGTGAGAGTGGAGCCCGAATGCCCACCTACCCCCCGGCCGGCTCCACCTGGCCATCCCTTGGCCGCATCCTAACGTGCCCCACAGGACAGAGCTCAGCTCCCTGCTCAGCCGCCCTGTGCCTCAGCTTCCAAGTCCTGGTCCAGCTCAGCCTCCCTTGTAGCCACGAGGTGGATTTTTCTCCCGGGAACCAGTGCAGCCACCACACTGCGTCCCTGCTGCCGATGGGTCCGATCGATCGGCACTTCACACACGGAGTTCTGGGGTGCTGGCAGATGTCACTGTGATCAGTTAGGACAGGCTGGGGTACCTACATTCAACAAAAGCCCCCAAAGGGACCACTTCTCACTCTACGTGCTCTCAGTCTTGATGATCCAGCCTGAAGCTGCCCCACCCTTTGGAGCCATGGTGGGGAGGGAGGGATGATTTGGTGCTGTTGACGTAAAGAACCATTGAAACCTGTAAAGAATTGTTGTGAGTTTATTTGAGCCAAACTGTCGACATATGCCAGGAAGCAGAACCTCAATGAATTGAGATAATGCTCCGGAGAATGCGGTTACATCTGTATTTATACTTTGCAATCAAAGGAGGGACGTAGGTGGGTTACATTAAACCCATTGGTGATAGACTAGAGAGGCGGGAGAAAGCAAAGCAGGGAAACCCCTGGGATTGGATAAAAAGTAAAATGATGGACACAGACTTAGGTGGGTGCAGGAACAATTAACATGATAATGAAGGAATTGGTGGTCTCTGTCTGGGAGCCCAGCACATTAGGTTGTGCCCCAAGGGGTCCAGAAAAAGAAAGGGAAGTTACAAGTTACCCAGACATTTCAAGGGTATGTTATCATAGAGACAAAAAAACAGACAGGCTCAGTGAAGGTAAAGGTTGACCTTGTCAGTGAAGATACCGGCCTAGGAGATGACTACCCACTATCACTGCTTTTAGTAAAAGTTTAATTTCAGACCATCCTTTGTGGTGACTTTAGATCTGAGTCTGCAAGGCCGCCATGCAGGCCTCCCGTGAGCTGTCAGGTGGGCATGTGGCCCCTTCTGTCCACAGGGCTTAAAGGGTTCCCTTCAGCTCACAGCTGGTGGACCAAGAGTCATGTGGATGGGGGCGGGGAAACAGGAGTCTGCCCTTTGCCCCAAAGAGGAGGACCTGGAAATGCTGGTGAACCACTGAAGGCCTCATCAAGCCTCAAACCCCCAAAGGTCACTGTGATGCAATCTATTCAGGAAATACCGGGTTAAAGAGAGACAGGTACACGTACTGCAGGACTTCTCAGAGCCTTTAAACTATGAATGTGTATTGTAACTGTCAGACACAGTGTGTCAGGGTGGAGCTGTGACTTTGTCTTCCTGATGTGTCCTCTGTCCCCAGGCCCAGTGCCTTGTATACAATAGGTTCTCAAATATTTGGCTTATGACTCCTGCCATCTGCAGGCCAACCTCCTGGCTGACCTCTGAGAAGAGGCTTACCCGAGAACAGAGGGAGGAAACAGGCAGAAGATCTGCGTTGTTCCGTGATTACGTGTGCAGGCCCCACACTAAACCCTCCTACACCTTTATGCTTTGGGAACTGCTCTCATCCTCACTTTACAGATGGGGAAACTGAGGCTGCGGGAGCCGGCAGAATCAATTTCAAGTCAGTGTCCAGTTTGGGTGGCCCGTGCTGACAGCTTGCGCTGTCTCCTAGGTTATTTACCTTTGGTAACCTCTGCGGAAGTTTTCACACCCAAAGTAGCCTTTTAGGTCTGAACTGGGGGCCAGAGAGACCCCCAAACCTTTACTTTGGTGGCCAGCACCAGTTTCCTGGGTCCCAAGAGCTGAGCATGTGGGTGCTGAGCCCAGGGCAGTCTCTCCACAGGGCCCCCTGGTGGCTGCAGCCTGTTTAGTAGGCTCCCCCCACCTCCCCCTCCTTTTACAATAGCTGGGAAGCTTCTGAGCATCACCTTGGTTAGCCCAGTGCCTCCCCAGTTCCTGGCTGTGTGGGCATTGCTCAGAGGTGGCTAGGAATGTGAGCCCACACCAGACTCACCTGCATTTAGGGTGTCAGCTTCTCTGAGCCTCAGTTTCATCTCCTACACAAGGCCACCCCACTGAGATGGTTCAAGAAGACCACTGGTGAGAAGCACTGGGCACCACGCCTGGCACACAGCTGGAGACAGCCAGTGCACGGTGGGCGCTCTCTCTGGGCTGGGCACACACAGCATTGCATCTACTAACTGGCTGACCCTCAGAGCAAGGCTCCGAGGTGCAGACTGTTACCACCTCCCTTTTCAGAAGAGGAAGCTGACCCAGAGAGGCAGTGCCTGGAAGAAGGCCCACAGCCTAGGAGGGGCAGGGAGACTCACGACTGAGTTGCAGTGGCGCCAGGAAGCTGTTCTTGTCATCAAATGGGGGCTAATGCGGCGTTTCTCATCTCCTGGCAAGCGGGCATCCAAATGGGCTTAAAAGCATGGGGTGCCGGGCCCACTGCTCCTAGTGGGACATGTCTGTCGTAGCAACCCCATCCTGGCCTTTCACGGGGAGGAAGTGACACTTCGGAGGTGGTGACCTGCCAGAGGTCACACAGCGAATCATAGCCCTGTCTCCCTGCAGCTCCAGCCTGCTTTCCGCTGCCTCACGAGTCTGTGCCCAGGCCCAGAAGCTCCCCACCAGGCCTAGCCCCCCCACACCGTCCTTTCTTGGGAGGCTGTCCTGCCTGCCTGCCTGCACCTGTATCCCTGCCCCACACCTCCTCCTGCCGCCCTGCCTCCGCTTCCCCTCCCCGTTGCTCATCCTCCAGGATTGCTGACCAGGTTCCGCACAAG